AAATAGTTTACTTGCAAAGTTTGTCTGTCATGCTGATTGTAAGTCACCTGAGATCGAAAATGTGATCATGCCAATACTCCCGATTAAGGTTGTCAAGCACAGAGGGATACGTAATAGAGTCTAACTGACTGATGACAAATTAAATTGTAAGTGGCACAGTATGGTGATGCTGCATTATGCAAGACAAATGGATTATATCCACTGCAATTATTGACTGCACTGAGAGCTGTCAGAGATATTATGAAAAGCTCAATAGTTGTTCTTGTAATGATAAGCCTTTGTTATTATGCACTAAACTCGCACTGGAGTTGCCAAAAATAGTTTGCCAGATGGATACTGGAGTGTTTTTTTTTATCAGATATTGCAAAGTTATAAAAAAAATAAAAATGGACATATTTCAATTGCACACATATCACACCGGTTTCAAGGGATTCAGTCAAATCAGTTTTGCTATGTTTTTTCTCTCCAGCGCTTTATGAACTCAATTATATTGTCGATAGACTAATGGCTTTAGAATTGAGGCCCAAATTGTAATAACTGTGGCATTCCTCCAAACCTATCGGAACCTCGCAGGAGCAGTGGGATAAAACAGTGGACGACCACCAAATATCACATTCCCCCTCTGCTTTTCTCTCTCTGTGAAGTCTTTGGAAAGTAGCCATATAGAAAAGGCACTCAACCAGCAGAAAAATGAGAGAGTGGGAGGGAAGATGTCTCTGCTCTTTGTTTGATTAATGATGAATCCCTCTAAAGGTGCATGTATTCAAGTCATACCCTCAATATCCATGCCTTATAAATCTCTTAAATTATGTGCCAGGTTCCCTAAGAAGCCATATTACATATAGACTCAATTATATAATTAATTGCTGGTAACGGCGTGTTAACAAAATCTGTGCACATCTTAGAGTCAGAGTTTGCCATTTGGGACGTACTGAACCTTTTTCCAGCATATGGAGCCATTGGTCTGAAAAGTGAAATGAAATTCCCCACTGGTTCATGTAAACACAGTGTAATAGTTCATTAAATGAACAAATTATTCTTTGTTTTAGAGCATGCACAATGCTGTGTAGCCATGTGACACCCAACACTCGTGCTTGCTTTGGCGGGGTCATCCAACAGGAAAAGACACAGTCTCAGAAGATGAAATAGTGCACTGGTCCAGGGATCAATCCACATTACCATAACCATAATCACCTGGATTGATTCTGCAGGAAAAGAATTATCATACCTGACGAATGGCTCAATTTGCCCAGCACAAATTGATGACACAAGAGGAAGTAGAGAGGATCAGTGGGGACCTCAGACGTGGATCATGGTCCATAAGAGCTCTGAGTAAGGAGATCAATAGGGGCCATAATCTGATGTGCACACGATCAATAGCCTCCCCATAGCTGGCAGATGGGCCACTGGTGTTGAAGGTGGGTTTTTGTCTTCCACATAGCATCTTTTTTTCTTCAAACTAAGGAATGATGAGGATGCAGGCAGAACTAGGAGTGTCAATGTGTCACTAATGACAGGACATTTAGAGAGAGGTTAGCAGGCCCATTGACTGCCTCCTGCGGGAACTGAAAAGGAGGGGGAAAGGTGATTCTCGCAAGAGAGTCCCAGCGAAGAGGCTCAAGAGGGCTCTTAACTCAGTGGCTCTTTTGTCTTTTTTCCTCTGGATCAACTTCATACTCCCTGCTCAGGTCTCCCAGGGGATCTATTATTAAAGGAGCTGGAGAATTGAAATTGTGAGGGTGGGTGTTGGTGGATAAAGCGTGTTCACTCCCTGGATGCACAAAAGATATTCTCCTAAACTGCTGCCGACACTGTCACATGCACTATTTTTTTAAGCTGTCCCTTGAGGGATTTGGCCAGCTGTTTTTTCTTTTTGTGAAGACATTCGTCAAGTGATTTTTTTTTTTTCCCTGATGTGTTTTATAATGTGCTCAGGAGTAAAGACCAAAGTATTCAGGGACGTCCTTAGAGTATTGAAATAAAAGTCATGTGACGTTGAATCATTTTCTCTCTTTCTCCATCTGTCTTGTAAGTCTCAAAGTGAAGCCGTTTTCAGCAGTCATGCTAAGCAGTCTTTGCAGTAGAATTGGTTGAGGGACAGTAAGAGCACCTGAATAGCCACAGACAACTAAAGCATGTCACACATGCCCTAATCATCTGAAGACATTAACCTCTCTAAGCCAATCAGTCTCATGACTAGCCTGACCTCAACCAGACTGCATCCTGAGGTCAAAACCTCCACAGGGACAGGGACAGGGAAGATAGACAGATATTTCAAAGTATAAATCATGGCTTATTATGACAGATGGTCCATGATTTGGCATATAATTTAGCCGTTTATCTTTAAATTGAGCAATTTTGTATTCACCAGTTGTAATCCCGGTTATCTTAGTCTTTGAACTGTTACTCAAAGAACTTTCCCAGAGATTTGAAATTGTCCGGTTCAATGAAATATCTACTGTCTTGTCTCTGTTAGTTTTCCTCTGCTGGGTCACTTCCAGGTCAACTGGCGTGGCTGCACTCATTTCCCTACTTTAAGACAGCACTCCGGGCATTAGATGCTACACTGAATGCCACGGCACATGCAAATCAGGGGCAAAGAAGACCAAGTAATGTATCTTCTTAACTACTCCCACTCAATTACAGCAGGTTAATGCAGGCCAACTCAGGATTGCTCATCCTCATGTTCAAATGCCTTTTGGTGGTGTCCGTGAGCAAGGGATGCATGGGTGTGTAGGAAGGTGAGATTGCACGGGTGTGGGTCAGTGAAAACATTAATTACTTTACCTCTCTGTCTGTGAGCGTCTTAGTTCTGGAGTCCATCCATTCAGCTGCCCACAGTGCAGTTTTAGAGGGTTCACTTGCTCCAAAGTGTAGATTAAATGTCTCTTCTGAGCCAGGTAATGTGAATCTATTTAAAGAATAGTTGATCTCTAAAGAATGAGTGACCTTTAGCATGTGTTTTCATAAATCAGGTTTATTCTTAAACCTGTATCTGTAAAACTCAGCTGCGCAAGCAACGCAATTTACCACCAGTAAGCCTAAAAACTGATCGTCAATCGTTATCTCATGCTCTAATGTACTCTTCTACCTTTGGTGCTGACATGGTGCCAAGGTGTTCAGCAGCAGGAACACAAGCAAAGGTCCTCTGATCGAGTGGCTTGGCAACAGGGGGTGAGCTTCAAATGTGCTTGCCAAAAAAGTTCAGGGGTATGGAAACTGTGTGCGTCCTTACTGTGACTCCAGTCTTTCAACTCGCTGCCAGGCCAGGCCCAGGTTGCCTCACTTAGTCGCTAATAGGTTTAACCTAATCAGCAGCAGCATTCATTAAGTGATAACGCTTCCTCTGCTGAGCCATGACACCCCTTTGTCTCTATACTTTGCAATCTGTCTAAATCCTTTTTTTCTCTGTTTTTCGCCCCTAATAGAAGGAAGTTCTTACCTCTATTTCAGGCAGTGTCACAAGGCTATGGCCCAGCGTGTCAGTGTTAGCTAGGGGCTAATTGATAGACTATAGAAGTGGCTGAAGACTTTTGAAAAAATCCTTGAGCTGCACCCCTGCATGACATTCACTAGTACGTTAGATTTGCTGAATTATAAAGTCTCTCAAGACGCACTGCACACAGACTGCGCTGTGTACATTTATGTAAGATATTGAGTGTGTTCTGCAACTTGATGCAGCTTGTGATTAGTATTCAGGGTGCCTTGTTTTCCTATCTTCACTGAGACTTTCCAATCTTTGTTCATTAGATTTTTATAGGATTTACATCGCTTGTGTCTTAGAGGCCTTTACTCAAAAGAATGCAGATTTCTCCAAGCACTGGATTTCAGTTGATTGTTGTGGTTATGCTGCACTACAGTGTGTAGGACAGAGACCCTTCACCTGCGTGGGTTGAGACTCCTGGCTGAGCAGAGTTAAGCTGTGGGAAAAGGACATCAGCCAATCCCTGCAGCATTGTATGGATATATCTTCCCAGTGGGGTAAGGCGGAGGCACAGATAAAACATGGAGAGGTGCTATAAAAAAGAAGGGACGAATGATGAGGGAACCATGTAATACGTGTTTAACATACTCATTACATAACATGATGTTACAGTCAAACATTCCCCACGTATTGCTTATAAATCACCCAACCCCAATCAGAACATCTAACGTCAGATTGAATCTATCAATGTCAATAGATCCTGGTCAATGTAAAGAGCTGCAGTTGAAACACAGCCTCATGCTGCGCTGACCTCATAGGATAATGCAGGATGTTCTCATCGCTTTTTACTGAGAAGAAGGCACAGGAAACAATATCAAAGCACTATAAATTACAGTACAAACAGAAGTTTCCAAAAACTTGTTTGCAGTTACTTTCCTTTTATCACTGAGAACAATAAATTAGATTCTGAGACAGATAAAGAGGATTTTAGACTGTTGCCAACAGGTGGAGCCAAAATCCTTTTATCCTTTTATCTATTGTAGATGGGTCCACACACACAAACACACTCCTCTTCTTCCAAAATAGATTTGTGGCCTAGTTATTTCCCCTTATTTAAATTCCCCCCTCATTTAATAACTATGCAATGCTGCATTCATTCAAAGATTAAGGTAGTCATTTGCTACCTTATTTTGTCATTTCACAAATTGCCACACTATCTTCCATTTGTCCATACAAACAATACTGTGCCATGCATTCACATCAATTAGATTATACTCCACACCTTTCAGCCTTTATTAATACAATTTGTTCTGTCCCTAAGTCAAATCAGACACCTGTGATTAGTCAGTGTATCCCATATCTGTAACTAACTACTTAGCCATCACATGCTGATTGAGAAAGAGAACAAAAGATCTATATCGTAAGTCAACATTTTATAGCTCATGCCTAGTGGCTATTTATAATAATATGTATCCTATTTTTCACTGTATTAATAATGACAATGAAACTCACATGTACATAGACACATTGCTTGGAATCCCGCTTATATTTTTTTCTTTTCTGTTCTCTCTTGCAGATTCTAGCCATCATCTCGATCCTCTTCATCATCCTCGCCACCATCGCTCTGTCTCTCAACACCCTACCAGAGCTCCAGGTCACAGACGAGTTTGGCCATGCCAGCGATAACCCCCAGCTGGCCCACGTGGAGGCCGTGTGTATCGCCTGGTTCACCATGGAGTACGTCCTTCGCTTCCTCTCCTCTCCCAACAAGTGGAAGTTCTTTAGAGGCCCTCTGAATGTCATTGACTTGCTGGCCATCTTGCCCTACTATGTCACCATCTTCCTAACTGAGTCCAACAAGAGCGTGCTGCAGTTCCAAAATGTGCGCCGTGTGGTGCAGATATTCAGGATCATGAGAATATTGAGGATCCTGAAGTTGGCCAGGCACTCGACAGGGCTCCAGTCTCTAGGGTTTACTTTGAGAAGGAGCTACAATGAACTGGGGCTGCTCATTTTATTTCTTGCCATGGGCATCATGATATTTTCCAGCTTGGTCTTCTTTGCTGAGAAAGATGAAGATGCCACCAAATTCACCAGTATCCCCGCCTCATTCTGGTGGGCAACCATTACAATGACTACAGTGGGTTATGGTGACATTTACCCACAGACGTTACTTGGAAAAATTGTGGGTGGGCTGTGCTGCATTGCAGGAGTGCTGGTAATTGCCCTACCCATCCCCATTATTGTCAACAACTTCTCTGAGTTCTACAAGGAGCAGAAGAGGCAGGAGAAGGCCATCAAGAGGAGGGAGGCTTTGGAGAGAGCCAAGAGGAATGGCAGCATTGTGTCAATGAACCTAAAAGATGCCTTTGCCCGCAGTATGGAACTGATGGATGTGGTGGTGGAGAAAGGAGAGGAAAAGTCCTCCCTGGACAACCACCTGTCACCTAGCCGATGGGGCAGCTCAACCCGGCACGCCTCCTCAGAGACTGACCTGAAATCTCCAGTTAAAAGAAAGCTTGAGCCGCAAAGCTCTCCCCATGGTATAACCATCAACACCACTGGAAGTCCCCAGCTGACAAACAGGACCCCACAGCACCTTAATGTGCAAAAACTGGAGGAGATGTACAACCAGATGACCAAGTCACAGTCCTTCACCAACCTCAACACTACAAGCTCCATGAGCACTATGAGCACAACTATGACCGCCCCTGTCTCGCCTAAGAAATCTCAAAGCCCTGAATTTACATTAAAAGAGGAAGTAGAGCTGGAGATGAAGGAGGTCCAACCCTCCTTTCCAGTCTTTAGAGAACAAGACTGCAACTCAGATGAAGAAGATGCTGGGCCCTGTCAGATCAGACACCCCAGGGCCCCACCCCCACTTGATTTAAGCCTACTGAGGGCCATTGATGACCACAGCTCTCCTGGCGGCATACTCAAAGATGGCCTCTATGAATCCGTCGACCCAAGTGACGGATCGGAGCTCCTCATAGAGGAAGGGGAGAGCTTTAACAGTGCTGTGGAGAATATCCAGAGCTCTCCAAGAGGGAATAACCCTCTTAAAATAAAGGAGTTGAAGGTAAACTTCACCAAGACCTCTGCTGAAGGCCCGCCAACACCGCCCAGCACTACCTCTCCTGGAGACATCAGCTCCAGCATCCTGGAAGACGAGACTCCGGAGGGAGAGATGTCACCACTCATCCCCAGTACAGAGGAGCTGCTCCTAGTCACAGAGGAGGAGACCTGCCCGTTGTCCCCTAAGAGGCTGGTGGTCGACACCCCACCTGGAGATGAAGATCAAGCCACAGAGAACCACAGGGAGAAGCATCTGATGGAAGTGGCGGGAGCTGCAGTTGCACCATTGTCACCTAAGACAGCAGCACAAAATTGCACCCAAGGTGTGGTCGGGGCAAGCGGGGAAGTCAATGCTGACAGCAACCAAAGTGGACACAAAGTAGAGAACCACATGTTTACATCCGATATCCACCTGATACCCGGGGATGGAAGCCTCTCTCCGACCTGTGAAACCAGCATGTGACTGTAAGAGAAGCTCAGAGGGACAATAGACCCACTGCAACCTCAGCCTGGCGTGTGGGAGAGCAGGAAAGAAAAGACAAGGGTTTAGTTGTAATGAAAGATATTTTTGCATGGCATGACAAGTCCCTTTCACTTGTGTTGTTGTGTTTTGCTGAAAAAGAAACTGCAGCGCTCAGTGCAGATTTGAGAATGACTCTGGGGAAAACAGTGGGCTCAAAGAGGAGGCTCTTGAAAAACAGCTGGAATTCAGCAACTTATGTTGACATTTTGGTCCTCCCAATGTACATAATGACAGTCTCCTTTTTCTAGTAAAAGAAGGAAATGCACAGAGGGACTTATCTGTAAAAAGCATGCATTTAAAAAAAAGACAGATAATTTATGGTGCTTAGTTTGCTGGAAGCGCGCCACTGTAAATACTAGGACATCTAAAGCAATGACAATGCACAGGATGGCATCGGAAAACTGTCACTGAAGGTACAAATATTTGTAATGTGAAAGGGAGGGGTGGGGGGTGGTAGGTGGCGGGGGTTGAGTTTGAGAGCCCTCAAACTGGGTGTTGCATCGTAGCGACCTATAAAAAAACATATCATTACCTTTTGTGGAAATGCAAAAGTGTTCCCATGATGACCCTGTAATGTTTTTTTTCGTGTGAAAAATGGTGTATGAAACTGTAACGTTGACATTATTGATTTTGGTTTTCATAACGACTGTTGAACTTTCAGTTAAGCGTCCGATATTCAGTCTTCGAAAAACACATAATACGTATGTAACTAGTGAGGGCAGGAACTAGCAGTTACTGCTGCTACTGAAAATATTTATTATGTGGTGTCAGAAGTTACGACAAGGTTTAAGATGTTTTATTCCTTGTTCAAGCCTTTTGATTCCATCCCAATCACAAAAATAAATCGCATTTACTCTCCGACATCAGATATATACATCTAAAAGTAGGTTTAAGAATAAATTATGAAATACGTAGGTCTAGATCGGTTGTAAAAAATCTATGGTAGGTGAGTGAGATTCTGTAAAACACAGTTAAGACTATTTATTTATTCAGCACAGTAGATCTGGTCATTAAATACACATATATATGCTTTACACTATAATTGTCTATATTGGCAATGCAAAAGAGATAGACTACCATAAAAAAATGACAATATTCCTTCTGATATCAACGGACCAAATCAAGCACACTGACAAGCTTTCAACTATCTCAGCTGCATAGTAACAGATACAGTAATAACATGTATTATGACAGTAGTTATGGGTTTTGTTTTGTTTTCCTTATGGTTTGTTTACCTGCATCGTGTTCATTTTCCTATCCCCAGCGCCCTGATGTTGTTATTGGAATTTTTGTCAATGCTACTGCAAGTTTATCCCATTCTGCTGACAAGTTAATGGCATCTTTTTTTTTTGTATATCCGTAGTGTCTTGGACTGTAATTTATTGTGTTTTAATGTGAACAAAACTAATTTCAGTCAAACTTAAACCCAAAGGAGTTCTTTTTTTTCTCTTTTCTTCTTTCTCGCTTTTGTTTTACACTGACTGAAAATATCTGTTGTATGTTGCCTTTGATTCCAATTGTATTGCTGGAATATTTGTTTATTGTTGCAGCATGACACTTGGATGAGTGTACTAGCAGTGTGTTTGTGAAAGCCACACAAACCAGACTGGTACCGGCAGTAAGTACGTCGGTGAGTTCTTTGTTGTTTGTTTTATTCTTTTCTTTTCTTTTTCCCGCATTATTATCATGTTTTTGTGTTCTCACAGAGAGGTGTGGAATGTGCAATACCGCATACTGCAATCTATGCAGGCCAAGAATTGTGGCACTTTATTTTCTGTCTATGGGATTTGTAAGTGTACAGGCAGAAATTACTTGTATTTTTCAAATGTTGTATCTTTAATATGAGGCAAAACAGTATTACAACTACCAGAATCTCAACAAACAATGCAAATGAGAATTTGACTTTTCCTTTTTCGTATTATATGGCTGGCATATGCTGTCTAGCATCTTAATGCCAGATATCAATGGACCTCAAATTTGATTATCTGTGGGAACAGGGATCCAAATTGACCACTTTGGGCCTTTTATATTGCTGTTAGATTTACATAATCTAATAAATGTCTGAGGAAGATATTAAAATAATCTAATTCCAATGGCCACACAAAGGATTTTATGTTTTTTGTGAATTAACGTTGAGAATGATTCTATTTTTTCTAAACCAAAATGGAGCACGACCACAATTTCCTGCCATATGGTGGTTGAAATGATGCGTGCCTTTTCATAACACTGCTGTTTATGAGAAGGTAGCAAGTCATTTTGCTTTGTTCATATAGCACTGTACAGAAAATTCTAATTTTATAGGAGAAATCAGGTCTTTATGTAATACACACAAGTAATGTTATTGAGTTCTCAGGTTTTCTATAACTCTCTAATGTTCCTATTGGATAGATTCTCTGTTTTTTTTTCTTTAACAGCTATTGTCAAGTAGTTACTTCTGTACTTTTTGAAAGGTGATGTTGTCAAATCCACATTGATGTCTTGGCTCCCGGAGTAAGGAGCGGCAATATTTCTCCCTCCTCCTGGGTAATCCGTGCACCACCGTTCAGTATCACCCCCCATCAGTCTTCAGTGAGGCAGAAAGGAGCCCCAACAAAGGGACATAACTTTGACTGTTAAGAGTTTAAGATAAATAGCCAGAAGGAGAATGTCTAACTGACCATAGACAGACGGGAAGAGATCCCTACTGTCACTGAAATGATACATCTGATTATTTCCCATGCTGACAGCACTGAGTGCTCCAATCCCTACAGCTTCAGGGGCTCTAAGTCCATAGCATGTCCTCAGGCATAGTGATCGATGGGAGAAAGGAAGGCCAAGATTAAATGGAGTCGTCCCAAATGGTTCCATCATATCAGTGATCAGCTGTGGTCCATATTTTCTTTTGTCCGTGTACATACTGTATGCCCATACTCCGTAGCCAGAGATTCACGCGAGAGCTCGTGGAATTATCTTTGAAATGATTGATCCCTCATTGGAAACACAGATTCTTTGGTACTCTCCAAAGTAAAATGCGGGGTCAGCGTAGGTTGTTGTGGTTTGGGGTTTTCATTTTTTTTGACGATAACCTTCTTGTTAAAGCTATTTTTTTCTGTACCTGTACGTTCACTTTAACATTTTTCCTTCCATCCCTTGTTTGTAGTGATCATGTCTCCGTGTGATAGCCTCGAGTAATCCTTCATTTTGACAGGTAGGGTAGAGAAACAAGGGATTTGGATTGATCAAATAAATTCCCTTGGGATGATGTTTGTGTGGATACTGAAATTAATTCTGCGAGCTGACAGTGAAACGACTGTGCTCTGCCATACTGTGTCACAATGGCATTATCATCTGTGATAGCGTGACGAGTGGAAAGGCTGTGTCTTTATTTTCTCTGGGAGAATGGGTATTGTCTGTGTCACTCATGCGTGCTTACCAAACCGTGCTCCCCTGAAATGCATAAAGCTTCATTGTTTCTTCTTAAGTCTCTGTGTATTCTGCCTCTTACAGTTTTTGATTTATTTATTTATTTTCTGTTCAACTTTTAGAGAGCATTATCATTAGACACATTCTGAGCTACAGATTGTTTCTGTATGAAGCAACATCATTGTAGGCCTATGCATGTAGTAGTCCGAACAATTATGTGACCACTGAACACTTCGTTATGGTACATGTATGTCAACATTTCTGTAGAGCATTGTTCCCCATTACGTCTATTAGCATATGCAGAATAACAAATAAATGTGTATATAACTCATGTGTTTGTGTGTCTGGTGTGTCTACTTTACAAATGAGTTGTTGTCTAAATAGCATTTTCCACATGCATGTTTTGCTTAATAAGGATCATTGCATAATATGATAAAATATATCCGTTTATAAATACATAGAATTAATTAAGACTGTTTGGTGTTTGCAGCAAGAAGGTATGCATGTTTTTTTACATCCAAAAGTGCAGACAACTCAGCAATCTGGCGAGACTGGCTGAGCAATGATTGATCACAGAAATGTATTCCATTCCATTAGATGCAATTAATTGATCTCCACATTGCTCTTGTGTACTGCTGCCAAACATCCCTCCCAAAACTCAAAATGAGAATGGCATGTAAGGTCTTTAATATGAAAAAAAAAAACTGAAGGAACCTGAGCACTCTCAAAATAAGTACAGATGTTATGCATTTAGTAATGTGTTTTGGACTATTGTCGGTGTATTTATTGTATCTCATGACTGTATCTATTACATCCATTGTGTCACATAGGATTACAATAACAGTATCTATTACGTTCCAAGTGTCGAAATAGGTCGGTGGGGATGTTTGTCTCAGTTGTATTGTAAACCGTAAACATGCACACTCTATAGAAAACAATGCCTACAAGGTGCCATCTGAAATGTCATGACTTTTCTTACCTGAGTGAATCCCTTTACTTTTTTACATTTTTTAAGATTGCACATTAGGGACATTTAAAGTAAAATGAGTACAGACAAGATCACCTACCCTTGTCATTAACATGTTCAATTAGTTCTAGACTTTTGAAACATGAACAAGTCTCATTATGTGGCAATATTGTCCCGTCAAAGCCCTAAAATGTTAAATTTTTGTCGCATTTTTGGAAAATGGCATAGTGGAGTTAATCTTATTTTTATGGACTGGCTGCCTGAAAAATAATGTATCCCCTGACTGTGTTTACATACACATATTTCACTGCAATGCAGCCAAAAACAGTAACACCGCTTAAAAGTTTAGAATAATTGCTCTGACATAGTCCAAACCCCCACAAAAAAAGAGAAAGGTTCACAGAGGAATTATATTTTGGTCAATGTCATACTCATTTGTTTAAAAGTGGTAGTTACTCCTCCCAACGCCAGAGGGCGCTGCAGGATATCAAGAGGCGCTAAATGGGCAATGGCGCGCGGAAATCAAACGACCACAACAAAGGGGAAATGAATTGAAATATGTAAAACAAAACATGGAACCTGAAATTAAGGATGAAAACGCTACAGCTGCAAATCATACAGATGAAAGTGTCAGTTTTTCCCAAGTTACTACTGTTGCTAATCGGTGGATTTTCGACTTTTTGTTTGTAAGTCTGTGTCGGCGGTTCAAGGAAGACAAATTTGATGAATTCAATGAAACGCTTTCGACTTTCCAGGGTAAGTTTTCAAAGCTAGCAAAGCATTAACAGTTAGTTAGCTAACGTTAACTAACATTACCTTTGCTTATTTAAAGTGTACAGGCAGCAACTCTGCCGAATGTACAGATATCAGGGGTAACTTTTACCTTTAGCGATAAAAGTGTTTAAAATTCGTTTATTCGAATTAACGTCAATAACTCGTGCACTCAAATGGACAACAAACAAGCTGACGTTAAGTTATTAACCGGTAACGTTAACGGTAAATTTGTACTATATTCACAGCCCCTAAGCATTTATAATGGCTGCTGAACCAATGTAGAAGTAACATTGTATAAAAACGGTAAGATTAGCCAAGTTAATGCGTCAATATAAAGACATTATGAGGAGTTAGCGTCCTTGCTAAAACTCTGGGTCCTGCTTTAGCGTCAACAACCTATAACAGTGAATTGTGAGTTCCATACAACAACAAACATTTATTTAATTATTTTAAAAAACATAATGATGAAAGTAACATACGCTTTACCCCTGACACATGCATTGGAATTCTTTTAGTAATTAGTATTGAAGAATGAAATGGTAATTTCGTTACATTAATGTTAATAATACACTATCTTAATGTCTTTGTTGATTTTGAAAACCTAGTGGCTAACACAGTTTTGTAAATTGTTGTTTACTTTTTGATTTTAGCCATTCATCCATCACTGAAAGGAAATGGCCATCTTGAGAAAACGATTATTTGTGCCTTCCTTGCAAGAGTCATGCATGGAAATCAATTGGGTAAGTTGTCGAAGTGAGCAGCTGGCTCAGGCCTCACTCTGAAACATCTGTCTGCATCTGCATTTACTTGTTGAAGTTAGTACTGCATGGAGGTCAGAACCTACAGCAAGCATCCCCATAGCTAGCATCCCCAAGCTAGGCTATAATGAGAATATATATATATATGCGCGCAGAAGTTTTCAGCCACTCTTTGAATTTCTAATGAAAAACCTTCTTACTCATGTGTTGGATACTTAACTGGCCATTGTTTAAAGATCCCATTTTGGACATGGCCCCAAATTTCTGATTGTGGGTGTCTGTTTACAGTTCATCCCAGCTGACATTAAAGCTCATGTAAAACACATAGATAATGGAGTCATGGATTTCATGACATGGTTTGCTGTAACAACTGTAATATCAGAAAAGTAACTTCAATCTTAAATTGCTGGTTTTAAAATGTATCCTGTGCTTCTTTACTCTGCATACACACATAAGTACTAATGTCCACACACTCACAAGCCCTCTGCGGCCTGTTTTAACCATATGATACACTGGTTTCCCCCAGATGTCCTGTTTGAAGAGGAAGACCATGTGATGCCTCTGATGTCTGCTTCCAAAATATGGTCAGACCTAGAGGACACTGTGGAAGATGAAAGTTTGTTCAAAAACATCACCCATCTTTTGCTTGTCCAGGTAATCTTATCAATTATTTTTGGGGTGTATTAACACAAGATCAAAGAATGTCCAGACATGGCTTTAAATGTGACTGAAAGAATCAAATTAATTCTGGAGAACGCTACAGTCTGCTGTTAAAGTCCTGATGTCACACAGGGATGCTTTGTCTTGATTTTGATTAAGATTCTGATGCATTTGCCCATCTTCCCAGTCTGTGGCTGTGTGCTTGGAGAAAGGCAAAAGATCTTCCGCCTCCTCTGCCCTCAAGTGGTTTGAGAATAACCATGAATTCCCACAGGTCTGTATGTCCATTACTGTCTCTTTTCTTTTCAAAAGCACCGGGTCATTACTGGAATATTTGCTGGCCTAGAACGACTTCAATGCTCAACAACTAATATTTCTCAACAGAACATGATAGTGAAGCTGTCGACAATAGTGACACAGAGGGAAACCTACCACCCGTTCCTCATGAGCTTCAGCTTCAGCCGCCTGCTGGAGACAATCAAATCTTACTTGGACGCCTACTTGGAGAAGAATCCCTCTGACTACCTCCTCAAGGTACAGCGCCTGAGCCAGTGTGTTGTAGGGCCCAACCTGTGTCAAAATGTCTCTCGGTCAAACACTACACAATACATTTCCTGTATTTTTTATTACCTTAATTGAATGTGTTTCAACATATCGTACACCAGTAGACTATTTGGAAACTGAAAATGTGGGAGAGATGATTGACAAGTGCTGTTTGTGAGATGGAGAATATCTTTGGATACACGTCATTTAATTGGCCAATACATCAGGTGACCAATATTTAGCTACAGCCAACGGCAAGGTTTAACAAACAGCAGTCCATACATTTTCTTGATGTGTGCGCCGCTCAGTTACACTCTCGTCCTTTGACCAACTGAAGGTGCTGATGTGACATTATCAGTCATAGCTAATTGACAATTTGTCATCAAAATGAGTTGGAAGGACAAACCGCCACATGCATCAGAGACCTCCTCGGGGTCGAACAGACCCGCTTATGCAAGAAAGTTTCAGAAATGATTTACATAGAAGCCGCTGACCAAGGTTAAACGTAGAAGGCTATTATAATGACAGGCCTCGTTAGCTTTGCTTTCACATTATAGCAGTACTTAAAGGAATACTTCATCCACTAAATGACCATTTGTATATCAATCACTCACCCCGTGAGTGATTGATATACCCCGTGATCTTGAAGATCAAATAATATTTAGTAACTAATATGTTAGTGTGTGTTTTTGTCTGCCTCTTCTTCTATCAGGAAGCCACAAAGATGGTGCAGTCGTCAGAAAACACTGAGGGTTTGGAGGACGTGATGACACAGGACAGCTCTCTGTCAGAAGAAGCCAACAAATCAACAGAGAACAGAAAGTAGGAAATACTTTTGTAACACCCTCAGGTTTATTTATTGAAATGTGCACATGGTCCATTTCTGTTCTGTATTGAACAATATTCTGTACATTTGTGTCTTAACAGGGAAAAGAAGAAGAAGGCTGTTTGTTTGAGGTTAGTAGGAATTGGTGTTTGGGTAAAAGCAGACATTCAGCAAGCTGTGGGGTTACCAATATGTATATGTCTCTCTGTATGACACTTCCACAGAACAAAACGGAAACTGCTGTCAACGAAGATTTCGGACATATGGCAAACTGATTCATGCAAGAAGTCGTTTGTCTCTCTCAGAAGAATCTCCCGCAGCGGTAGGTTTTTATCTTTTCTGTTTTTTCTTTTAAAAACATTGTATTTTGATTTGATCTGATGTATCAATACTTTTCTATAAAATAAAGAACTAATGATAAAGTTAAACCTCCCACCATCAGAGTTATCTGAGTTGACATCCACGAAGTCAACGGACACCTCGAAGATCGAAAAAACAAGAAAACCACCTCAGGTAAATTGAAGCACACCGCTCATTCATGACCAGTATATTAATCCCAAATCAAGTGAATATATGAAGCTCAAATGCTAACTTTGGCTCGGATTTCTGAAAATTGCATCCCTTATGTTTTACTTTGTTTAGAAATGGACATACGAGCTGGACAGGTACCTCAAGATTGGCGTTCGACGTCACGGCCAGGGGAATTGGTCTCGCATATTATTGGATTTTGACTTTGACGGCCGCACTGGCACCATGCTCAAAGACCGCTGGAGAGTTCTAATAAAGACAAACAAAGTAGGCTAAAGAGGGGGGCGTCACTCTCTAACTTTTACTTTGTAGCAATGTACCTGTAAATAAGGCTTGACCTAACCTTTTCTCAGCCCAGAGCTTAATGTCTGAAGGTGTTATCAGTGTGTTACTGCTGCTCTGTTTGCACCAAGACAATATACCACCAGAGGGCACTCAACACATAATGATTAATTGAGCTACAGCCATGGCCTTCTATGATGAGATAGATTTAACAGATAGTTAACAAAATCTGTAAGTAGTCACCTCTAATTTATTGATATATGGGATTAGCTACCGCACTCATTCAACCCCTTTAAACACATTGGCTAAACTCTTGAAATAGATCCTTTATGTTGTTGGAGTCAAAGCTATTTCATACCACTAGAGGGCACTCAACTCACTGAACTCAGCTGTCAGTGTTGCCTCATCATCTGGAACAGTTCATGTTTGTTTGGTTTTATTTTCTTGGGGGGGGAGATCAGTTCACAAATGTAAAATATTGTTATCATTTTAAGTTAAACATTTTTGCTATAACACTGTAACAAACGAATACAACAGTGTTACAATTAAAATTATGTAAAATCTTCTTTTGATAAATGCTTAATTTGTAATAAAATGTGAAATACTGTACAAGTTACAACTGTGTCTTTACATAGTGTGCTGCAATGGGAACGTGCATGGTGATTGCAGAGCAAAACATACTTTTTTTTTTATATCAGTAGCATATTATTTATTAGAGACAAAATTGCATCGCACAAGTCTTGAGTCTCTTCTTCGAGCTGAAAGCCTTTTTTGAAGCATCTGACCTGAACACAGTGTTTCAGTCTCGCTGGTGAGCGGCGCTCGGCTGTGAGGTGTTATCGTGGACTCCAGATCAGAGAGTGTTGCGCGGCGCTTCGTTTAGATCAGATGAAGACGAAGCTGTGTTGTGGCGGACAGTTGCACTGCTGGGTTTGCTGGATCTTCTTCCAGGTCCCGCTGCACTGATGGTTCCCCACCGCCTGCCAGTGGAGCAAAGCTTCTCTGCAACACAGTCACAGCCACTAATGTTTTTATCACCGCCATGTGCGTCATTTCAGACATTAACATCTATAATGGCAACAAAACATGAAATGTAACGTGCTCTTGTATCAAATCTTTAGTAAACCAGGTTTGTACGAACCTCAAAGAACACACACACATATATATATATTTGTTCATACTTGTCTGATTCCAGACCGTCTCCTTGGCAGCTGCCACTATTGTTGCGCATGGCAGGAGGTTCACATGCCACACACACTTTAAATCCTTCTGTTATGTAGCGCGTCCAGTGTGTGTGTGGCCGGTTCTCCACTGTACAGTGGGGTGTCCGGGACTCCAGCGTGAATTCCACACAGAACCTGAGGGGAGTAGGCGGCAGGGTCACGAGGGTCACACAGTCATTCCTGGGATGTTAAGACCAGTGAATCGAGCTGGAGGACTAAAGTACATTTACAGGGATCATTTTCCACACCAGTCAATGAATGATCATTCGACCAATGGGGACCCAGTACACTGCACACAATACCTCAAGTACTGTCATCGAGGCCTTTTGTGCATGTGCTTTTCATGTGACGGTCTTTATTAAAGAATAGTATCCCATTTCAAAAGGGTTGCCGGCAGCCTCTCAACGTTTGCTATATTTAATGGCTTGTAGACAGATGTGCAGGTGAGCAAACACCTACTGGTTCATGGGGACATAGTTGAGCTGTTATCTGGTTGTTTTTTTTAATGGGTTTAGGTTACAACAGCATAATGCTCAAATGAAGTTTAACCCCTGTTAGCATTCATGAACTTTTGAATTTTAAAGATTTCCGAGTACGTGGGGCTTTATAGGAGCAGGGTGTGAAACCTACCCGGGGTCCAGGGGGTTTCCGTAGTTGTCATGCTTCGGCCTTCCCTTGCCAAACTCCATGCTGGTGATGAATGCAGGACCTGATATAAAAAAGAAAAAAACAATTCAAAGAAAAACAGTTTGCAGGTACAGTAAAGCAAGGTGAGGATCGTGTATTTGTGTACCTGAGTTTAGTCCACAGTGGCCACCCTTCTGGTCTCTGTACTCCCTGCAGCCGCTTCGTTGCTCCAGACTAGGACAGGGCTCTCCGCTGTTACTGGGCTGCTGCTCTACGTGACGAACACGGACCCGCACTGAAGCCTGACACGACTTGGCACAGCCGCTCCAAAAGCTCCAGTCGCTCACAGTGCAGTCCTGAGCTGGATGTTGGCGCCCATGTTGTGGGAGAAGGAATATTACAGGATATCCTTTTGTGGTAGCAAACAATCAGAACTGCAGTGAAACTCATAGAAATTGGACCCCAGCACCAACACTGATTGGTTTAGTTTAGTGTGTGCAGAGGTGAGTCACAGCAACAGTAAAAGCTTGCAGCGTTCTTGCCGGCTGCATAATTACAATCTCCCTGTGAAGCCGCGTAATGGAGGTAAATATCCAGGAAATCACTTTAGATCAATGAAGCATTGATTGTGACTTGTAGAATTAGTGTTCCCTGCTCTACTCCGAGTGGTTTGATATCATGCCAAGTGAGCAACCCATTCAATCACCAAGTCCTGTGATTTCTTTCTTTTCAGTCGCTCCCTGTTTTCTCGATGATTAAGCTTGGCTGCATTAAGCGTGCAGATTTAGTCTCTTATCGGCCTTTAACGCATATTAGGTACGCTCGGCTTGTTTGCCTGGAACTGTAATTGCTACGACTGATTGACAGAATCACATTCTTCAAATATTTTTACTAATTCCATTATGTGGGCCAGTCCGCTGAAATGAGGTTAGACACAGAGCTGCCTGGGTTATGTGGTGAACTGATTGTGGTAGGTTTTTGTGATGTAGCAGACGTGATGTGTGCTCCAGAAGAAAAAAAATAAGAGCTGTCATTGTTTCTAGTGCACAAGTCAGGAGGTGGAGATAAATGTGCTCAAACAACTTCACATGCACAGCTCTGTGTCATCAGATAAGCAGCCCAGGTACTAAAAAAACAATCTTCTCCAGCTATGTTTATCTCCTGTCTGCTAATCTGTCTTTAGCGAGGGTCATCTCATGCGACAGGTTATCTCCCACTGGTTTCGCATAGTTATGTGTGTGTGCACAGAAAACTCCACTTGTGACTCATTCGCACTGACAGCGATCCCTTCCTGTCCTCCCTCACCTGGGCATTCTGTGAAGTAGTCGAAGCAGCAGTCGTTGGTCCTCGCACAGCCCTCGTCGCAGTAGCACGTCCCGTACACACGGTCCATCCTCCAGTCGGTGGTCAGACAGCTCAAGTCTCTGCCTCGGCAGCATTTCCCTGAACAACCCCCGGACACCAAGTGGTTCTTTCCCAGAGTGGAGACCACCAACAGCAAACAAGCAAACTCCACAGAGGATCCCATCCTGAAGGGGGTCAGGTCAGACCCTTGAAGTTAAAGACTAGCCTCTGAGTTCGTAAGTGATTAGTCCCTCCCTGGTCCTACTCCACATCTGTCACACTCATGACCGTGAGAGGGAGAGGTGGGAATAACCAGCCCAACCCAGCCAAGACAGGAGCCCTTGTGACCTGGAATTCCTGCGTCCGTCTCCTGCGTCCAGCCCCTCTTGTTTCCCTCCAGGAACGGGTCTGCAGAGTAACCTACAGCACAGGACGACCCGTTCCAGCGCTGATCAGACTCCCGTGTCTCTCTTATTGTGTGTGTGCGTCCTCTCCCTTCAGAGCTGGTGACTCTCTCCTTGTTCCCAGCTGAGCACCTCCCTCCAGTTGATCGCACACGGGAGGAGACAGTGAGGGCAAGGGAGGGGTGAGTGGTTTTGCCTCCTACTTCTGTTCTCTCTCTCTCTCTCTCTCTCTCTCTCTCTCTCTCTCTCTCTCTCT